TATTTCTAATAATTTAACCCTTTAGTTTGACCCTACTCCTGATGAGTTTGCTAACGAAAACACCCAGCATATGCTTTTGATTTTGGATTTCGATGTGGATCGGATCATATGAACATTGGTTCTCAGATGGACTTGAAGGTATATTGTTATTCAGTTATTTGTATGGTTTTATAAATTTTCGCTGAGTGTGATGCCTGTTTGTATCTAGTTGTGGGTGTTTGTTTAAATATGCAAACTGTAATTCAATATTTTTTTAAAATTTTCATCTAAATATTGCTGTTTGTATATTTTTGCTAATTTTAGAGATGACAATGTATCAAATAATAATTTCCTTGTTATGATTTTGTAGAAAGAGATTTACTTGAGTGGTTGGCTGGTCTTGAACCTGTTCAAGATGTATATGATAATGAAAGAGGTGATCAAGGTGATAGGGCAGAAAGTGATGACAAGTTAAGTGATGAGGAGGAAGAAATCACCCAGGCTGTACCATTCAAGTGCATCTGTGCTGCTCATGAGAACCACTACCAACATCATTTGGAAAAGGCATACCTCACTCTTCATGAACAAGATAAACCAGTGAATGTAAGAGTACGCCAGAGCCATTTGAATCCAAGGGACCCAAGTGCAATAGCAATTGATCTAGACTATGGAACTGGATGGCCCCATGTTGGTTATATATTGCTTCTGAACTATGCAAGTATCCGCACCCATTAATTGCTGCAAGAGATGTCGTGGATGCCTATGTTCAGCATATCAAGTATAGGGTTGACTTTTTTAAAATAGGATTTTATCAAAAAAATTTTGTAGAGACATGGTTAGTGCATGGGAGACAGCAAGAGTGTACGTTGAAAAGCATGAGTGTACGTTGACAGATGTTTTTTTTTATATAAATAATAGCAACTAACTATGTTTAGCAAGTTATTGAAGTGCATTTATTTCAATTGGCTAACTTTTTAGATTTTTTCCAGCATTTTTTAAACAAACCACAGGGTTATAAATGATAACTTTCTATATCTAATTAAAACAATCTGTCATGTACACTCATGCAAAATAAGTACATAACTGTAAAAATGTGCTTTAGTAAGTAAATAAGTAATTTATCCATGCACTTGACCTTCTTTGTTTGTAATTTTTTCAGATTAAAATTAATGCAACAATAAAACAAGAAGATGTCTATTTATATAATATTTATTAAATTGATCAGAGATCCCACTTCAGCTCAGAAAAAGATCCCACAATATAATAACATGCCACTTAATTTGTTATATAATACATAAAAACTTGTTTATTGTTTTAAAACAAGTGAAGCTCTCTGCTGGTTTGAAATG